GGATATCAGTCTAGTTTAATTCACAAATGTCTAGGATATCTATCTTTATGCATTCCATATTTTATGAACTCCAGTTCCTCTAGATTTATACTTCATACATTCCACATATAATTTGTAATACATATTTTCAGTTGTTTCTTCTTATTTTGAGTCATATTCCATCAGCAAATGAATATTCTGAGAGCTTTGCTCCATTCTTATCATTCAGTTCAATTCTGTTTTGAGAAGAAAGCTCTTCCTCAGTTGTATTAGCCTGTATCATTTTCTGACACTATACAGGAGCTGATGGTTCAGAGATGGATGAGCTCTTTCTGTTTCCTAGTTTGTTCTTAGTCTGAAGCTCTACTGAGACGTGTTCACCATGGTGATCTCACTAGTCCTCGAAAGACAGGGGGCAAACTTCCAGTCTCACAGCAACGTGCAGGCCACAACAGTACAACAAACAGACAGACAAATAAGGAAGACACAGTACAACAGACAGACAGATAAGGAAGGTCACTTTCATAAAGTGACCGATTTCAGCTCACCATCATGAAAGTTTTTTTCTTAATGCAGTTAACCAATAAACAGATCTGGAGCCAAGTGAATTATTTTAAAGAATTTATCCATTTCATAAAAACGTTGTAATTTTTCACATAAAATTTTTCAGAGTGTTTCTATATAATCCATTTTATTTTTGTCAGGGTGATAGTGGAGTGCCCTCCTTACATTATTATATTTCATAATTTTAAGATGTTTTTATACAAGGTATCTATAAATTTAATGCAATCTATTAAAAATTCCAAGACCCTACAAATGCTAAGCCAATTCATTGCCCTTCAGCAGATGAATAGACAAAGATCATCCATAAGAGAGAATACTGCTCATCAATAAAAAGTAAGACAATTATTAATGTATGTCAAGCGAAACAGAAACTCCTTTATTGCATTAGTGAATTCTTATCATAGGAAATATCCTAATGGAAAGTTCATGATTGTGAATAGACTATTTATTGATAAACACTCAGAACCAGAGCTGTCAGAATAGTCAGGTTATTAAAACATGGGGTAGCTATTTCCATTTCGAAGTCTCTCCAACAATGTTTTGAGCAAGTTATGTAGTAGTAATGGACTGTCTTCCTTCGTAGTTGAAGAAACCGATACTCAGTATTAATTACTACTTTAGATTAAAACAGAACTAGCTAAGATCCTTGACAAGTCAGAGACAGAAGTAAGCAATACAATACTGTTTTCTGCCTCTCAGAGTGAGGTTTGTTCTTTCCATGATGCTCTAGGCATTTCTGGCATGTACAGGTCTATTTCTAAAATTAGATGGTATTGGGCATAGGTGCATTCTGCCAAAAGGAGTTATACTCATTTATATTCAATCTATATTCATCTACCGGAGGTTACTATTACCAAAAACAGAACTGCTCAGTATCTGTGGGGATGTTCTATGAAATATATAAACCAGATTCTGTGTCAAGTTAAACAACATTTGCATGAATACTCTCCAGATGTTTGATGTCACAGAAAGAACATATTCTCTTGTTTGGAATTCATCAAAACCACATCCTCTCTGTTTGCATATGACAAGGCACCCTGGGACATGAATGCTAAAAAGAGAACAGACCCATATGGTCCTCCTTAAGGAAAATAAACTCTGCCACACTGCAATATAAGATGGAGTTAAGGAGGGTGAGATAACTTTAGAATACATACATCAACAGTAAAGTGAAGTAAAATGTATTGCACTTTTCAAAGAGCTATAAAATTTAAAAACAAACAACTTACATCTATTTTACTGGTTTGTAATTAATATCTGATTATGTGAAAGAAGAGAAATAATCACATTCAGCTGATGCCAATGATTCATGGCTAGAGTCCATTCTAAGTGGTCAGAACAAGTTGTAACTATTTTGAATCTGTATCTTTTATTATCAGGTTATAGTATTATAACTCTCTATAGCTCTATATTAGATCAACCTTTTTCTTATGTTGTCAAGGTTTACTTCGTCCTTTATTGTTTTTAATTTTCTGATTTAATAGCATATACCAAAGAAGATATTTTAATGCATAGTTCCACAAATTTTGACATACCTATAGGTTCACGTTACCCAAATTCATTCTGAATACCAAGCAATTACATCAATCCCCAAACATGTTCTCGTACTCTTCTTTTCAATCATTTCCTCCCTCTGATTTAACACTGGACAACTCTGCTATTGTAGTTTGGCCTCGAATGTTATCTATATAATCCTATAGATTGGACTCCTTCGCGCAACATCGGCCATTGGAGATTCTTCGGTGTTGCTGCCGCACTAAGAGTTATTCCTCTTCTTGCCAAGTCGGGTTCCATCTTGGGGAGGCCCTTCACTTATCCATTCATCTGTTGAAGGGTAACGGTTGTTCTAATTTTAGAAGATTCCCGGAGTTTTTATTGGATTGCTTTCAATTTATAGGTCATGTGTATAATAAATATTGTAAAATTTTAAACATCATAATATCATCTGTATGCATGATTCAACTATTCAACCAAAGATGTGAAACATTATAATTTACATCTACCTATATGGTCCTCTACAATTTATATCTGTATTATAGGAGGAAACCACTGACTACATTTTGTCTTTTATCATGTAGGTTTTCATTATGATATTCAGTTTTATTATTTTATTCTATTTAGTTCATGTCATCAAGTGAATTGTGCACCCTCAATGTATTTGTCAGCTTGGTTAGGTCGTGTTTCTCAATACTGTTTGTTTATCCTACATTTGGATTTGATATAATTATTGTCCATTTTGTGATATATGTTCTAGATTCTAACCTCTACATGTCAATGAGGCAGGATTAGGGTGAGTTTTAGCTAAGTCACAACTTTTAAAACAGCATGATACCCTTCCTCCAATCACTGTCTAATCTGAGGTAAAGGAGCCTCCCTGAGGATGTGGTCCCCATCTAATATATATGGACACTCTGGCAAAGATCCCTCATTTGCTTATGACCTTCATCTGACCTCTGGCTCTTGGGATTTGAACCAGCAACCTTTTATCTGATGTGATGATTCTGCCCTTTATTAGCTTCCACAGTCTTGTGAGTCATCAGCATCTTCTAATAAGAAAGTGAATAAATTCATTGTGCTACGGTCACACTATAAAAATCATTTTATTAAAACACGGGAGTGGCAATTACATTAAACAACCTAGAAACAAAAGCCTAAGAAAAAGATCTTATAAGTCAAGTTTTCCATTGACCTAGACTTGGTGTCCTGAAGCAGACTTGTGGCCTTCTAAATTATGAGATAATGCATTTGTTTGTTAAAGTCATTACTTACGGCATTTCTGCTGTAGCAAGACTAGATAACTAAGATACTTCTATATGTACATTTATATAATATATTTTGGTACTTAAAATATATATATTAAAATGTAAAACGTGTCTTGTGTGACCATGATGCAAATGAAGTTATCCATTTTCCGATTAGTGGATGTTTGATGTATGTTTAGTTCCGTATTATATCGAAATTTTATATGACGTATGATATTGACCTGCTTTCCTAACTCTCTAAATAGCATGACTTCAATGACTTCAGCTAGTATGTCTTTAATGTTGTAAGCTATATATCACTCACTTGTTCTTAAAAATCTCGATGATTCTAGTCCTTTTTCTTCCCTGGCTTATAGGGTTGCTATGAGTCATAATTCACTCCATGCCAGTGAGTTTGGTTTTAGTTTTGCTTTTTGCAGTCGAATGAGTTTTGGTTTGCCAAGTTCCATTAAGAACCCGATTGAAACTAAAATCGACTGCTTGCTGTGTATTTCTCTTCTTTGCTTTCCTGACAATAACTTTACTATGCCACGATTGTTATTTTTCTGACAGTGCAGTTAGTTTTCTGAAGACACGGCCCCATGTATGTTACTTTCCACACCACAGGAGAATGAGATCAGTCGCTGAGCTTCCACAATCCCAGCTACCATGTGTTGAAGCTTGTAGGCCATTCTTGACATACGATATACTCAGCTGATTTTGAACAACTGAATGAAATAATTTTTCACCTCTATCAACATTATCCCAACTTTAAAATAAATCATTTTACTTTTTCTTTGGGATTGTGGTGTACAGCTTTAGAACTAAGACAAGGAACAGAAGTAAACCTCAGGAAAATTAATCCTGAAAAATAAGGCAATAGATAGAGAAGAGATCCATATTTGTGCCCACTCCAAAGATAAGTAACTCAACAGATGATGGAAATTATTGAATTATATCATTAGTACTTCATACAAATAAAATTTTGCTGAAGATCATTCAATAACACATGCAGCAGTACATCCACAGGGAACTGCCAGAAATGGAAGCCAGATTCAGAAGAGGACATGGTATGAGGGATATCATTGCTGGTGTCAGATGGATCTTGGCTAAGTGCAGAGAGTATCAGCAAGATGAATTCAGCATTGGAATTGGAGGAAGGGTTATTAAAACCTGTGATATGTAGTTGTCACAACTGTACTTGCCCATGAAGTTCAAGGAGGGCAGCCTTCAGTATAGATTGCAAGTCAATGTCAAAGAGAAACACAAATTTTCACAGCTGGACTAATAGACAACATCATGATAAACAGATTGAAGTTGCCAATGATTTCATTTTGCCTGGATCAGCAATCAATAATGACAGAAGCAGAATCAAGAAATCAAGCTACCTATTGCAATGGGGAAATCTGCTGCAGGAGATTTCTTTAAAGTGCTGAAGCGCAGGGTTGGATAGAGTCAATTTTGCATAGACCTCATTACGTGGCATTCCTTCCATCATCTCTCGTAGCTGAGGCGACATAGGCATAATCATTTTTTAAAATTAGCTGGTTCTTTTCTTCTTGAGAGTCAGGCTATGTAAATAGTCTTTCACTTTATAGATTAAAACCCTTCTAACCATTATTTATACTTGTATAAATCACATTCAGATGTTTCCAGCCAAGAGTATTCTCAAATAGTTGGTGAATTCCATCCAATTTTGTTTTGTCTTTAATCCAGGGACAGTTCAGTATTAATTTGGCAGGAACAGGGATGAAGATCTCCAGCACAGCCAAGTGGCTTGCTCAGGGGAGTTATGCCTCTGTCATCATACACAGATCCCAGGTAAGTGCTGCCGGGCAATGAAAAGTTGGCTGGAAACCCTGCTGTGCTTTGAACTAGCATTCAAGGTCCTCTGACGTAGCTTTAGAGCTATAGCAAGACTTAAACAATAAAAGAGCTAGAGGAAGCATCAATGATTAGTAAATTATGAAATGGGTTGATTTTTATTAATATGCATATATATATTTTATGAGCTGCCCTGGTGGCACAAGTACTAACCAAAAGATTGGTGGTTTAAACCCACTAGTCTTTTCTTAAGTCTACTTGCTGCCTTCAGCCTACTGTATTTCAGTCATTTCCCCCATTTATCACCTTCTTCTGTACTTTTCTCCAGGAAATGTTTCTAATATTTCCAGGAGACATTTAAGGTACGCAGGTTAAAATATGGTTGCATACCACTCAGGTTAAGATGAATTACATTTTTCTTTCATTTAGTCTGAGAGAATTTTGCATAAAATAAGGTAAATATTGGACAGTAAATTGGGAGATGTTTTAATAAACACAATGAAGCAAATAGAGGGGTAAAAATACTTTGAGATACATTTTCTAGATATGGTGTGGTTCATAATGATCATATAGTTATACAAATCTCAGCTTATCTAATGCCTTTTCAACTTTTCCACGACCACAAATTTAACTAATCCTAAAATAATACGTTCTATGACCTGAAATGCAACTGGTATAGCAAATGTAAAGTTCTCACTTCAGCCATATGATTCAAAACATGGGTGATGTTCCTGCCATGCACATGCAGAAATGAGCTTATTTAGGATTCTCCTGTATCTCTCCCGCTTGTTTTCAGGATGGAACCAAAGTCTACGGCAGATGTGGGGGATTCTGTGGAAAGTGTGTTCCGCATATGACCACTGGTCTTCCAATTCAAATAACCTGACACGCAGTGATGGAAGTACGGCCCAATGAGGGGATAACTCTGGAACATGCAGAAAATTGGTGCTCTTTTCCTCATCACTCTTTCTTTCCTAGAATTTCCATGTCCAAAATGGAGAAAGTACATATGAGGAACTTAAACTTATGCATTACGGAATGGAGTCTCTCCTGTGGCTAATAGCCACTCAAACTTCACTTGAAAGAACATAGATATTATACGTCCTACTGATACAGTTCAGATAACTTGTTTTATTTTCCCTTTCTTTTTTCACTGTGGTTTATGGTGCTTCAGTTACATGCAAAATATGAAATTTTGTGGGTATAATCCAGAAAAAGATATGATATATTGGAATTTGATTTTTAAAACACTACCTCTAATTTGATTGTACTTAGACAATGAATTATTTTTATAATGTTAATATTCCACTATGCCTTTATAACTCTTCTATGTGTACATATCTACTCTTAAATTTTTTTATTTTCTCAAAGTTATTGTATTAGTCTGGGTACTTTAGAGAAACAAATCCACAGAAACTCGTTTATAAGAGAGAGTTTTATATAAAGGGTAAGTGCACATCAAGAAAACATCCCAACCCAGTGCTGCCCAAGCCCACAGGTCCAACATTA